AGCGAGACGGGAACCAAAGCGCCGACAAGCTCGCCAGTGCTGCCTTGCAACGCGAAGAAGGCGAGATCGTGACAGCCGAGGAAGAACGGCAGGACTTGATCACGCTGAACAGATTGCACGAAATACTGCAACCGAAGTCGACCAGATCAGTGACTCGTGTGAACGCAGTCACTCGATCTGCAGTTAGTCGATCTTCGCCACCGGCGGCGATGGATGAATCTGTTGTTCAACGCATACGGAGTCAGCGGATCAAGCAGGCACAAGACGAGGAGAAGTGGATCGCAGATCTGAAGGCGTACCTGAATGGTGACCTGAACGGTCTGTCGAAGGAAGATGCGAAGACATGCTCGAAGATCGCAGCGACGTATGAAGTTGACGAAGACGGACTGTTGTTCTACTGCCCGAAGACCTTGACCCGAGACGAAGATCGCGACGATGTTGTCAGACTGGTGGTGCCGGAAAGCTTGCAACAGGATTTCCTCCACCATTACCACACGAGCCTGGAAGGAGGTCACCAAGGTGTCGGGAGAACATACCGCAGAATCCGGACGCGTTTTCACTGGCGTAATCTGTACCGAAGTGTCCAGCGCTACGTGGGGGAATGCACAGATTGTGAGACGGGAAAAGGGAAACCCACAGATCAAGGAAGATCGCCGGGGAATGTGCAAGGCACGTACCCGTTTCAAGTCATATCCATGGACCACATCCCATCGCTACCGAAGTCCTTTAAAGGGAACACGGAGTTGCTGATCTGGGCAGACCTGTTCACCGGGTACGTGATCGCCAAGGCTGGATCATCGCGGGGAGCTCAAGCGGTGGCGAATGTGTCTTCAGGCGGTTCGGTGCAAGTGAAACAATCAGGCACGATCGAGAACCAGGATTCATGGCAGATTTCTTCCGCGCGTTTAATCGGATTGTGAAGATGAGGCAAAGTCCCACCATGGCATACCGCAGGGCAATGGAAAAGCGGAGCGAACGGTCCAAACACTGACGAGAGCGCTGAAGATGTATGTCTCCGACGTTAATCAGCAGGACTGGGATGACTACGCCGAACGGTTGACGTTTGCCCTCAACACAGCGCAAGATCGAGTGCGTGGAGATACATCCTTCTATCTGGTGCACGGGTGGGACGCCAGATCGACGCTGGAAGCGACGCTCCCGATCGGATCTACAAGGCGGAGGGACAGCGACGCCCGCAGGTGGAGGTACCGTCTACAATCGCAATATCGACGGGCGAGAGAAGCGGTGAATAGCGATCTCCGGAAGGCGATCAAAGCCAGAGCTGCCCAACACAACGAACGAGTCAGGCCCACAAGATCGAGCAAGGATCACAAGTATGGCTCTACTTGGACCGAGTGAAGGAAGGGTTTGCGAGGAAACTGGCCCACATGTGG